GGGTCCTGGCCTCTATCCTGAAATTGGCAAGAAAGCAAGAGGCAAGTAAATTACATGGTTTTATTTATGTGTGTGTGCATATATGTCTATTTGTGTTTATTTCTCTGTGAATTTTTCTTTAATTTTCTTGTAATAATTGTGTGATTTCGGTGATTTTGATGAAATTTTATTTCTGGGGTTTCCAGATCTTGTTTATAGAGACTACCAGGGTGATCATAAATTCACTCTCACGACTTACGCCTCAAATGGAGTGGTGAGTAGTGTATCTTTTTTCTTTATGTACAATTATAAATGTATGAACATATACATCTATTATTGTTTATGTGTATGTGGATGGGTTTGTGTGTGTGTTTTGGGGTGGTTCCTCCCTCCATCCAATAAAATAGGCTTCTTTACTATTTTCACACGGATGAAGCAATTGTAATAAATATATATATATTAGAATAAATAAATAAATAAAAATAAAATCTTTCATTTTTCCTAATATACCCCTACAAATAATGATTTAAATATAAGTAGTTCATATTTGTTGATAACAAGATAGTTAAACTGAGACATATTAAAAAATCAAAAAATTAGCTACATTTTCTGGTTGGGGATGGACGAAAAAGGAATGCAAGTCTATTTTTACGAAACGGAGTAGTAAGTAGACCAACTGGTCTGATGAAACGAAATCATTTGTTGAAAATATTTTATGTCCATAAATTGTATTTCTTTTGATCAAATTTAAGAAGAAAGATAATGGGTTTTGCTCGTTCTTTTCCATTTTTTTTTAAAGCTTTTCCTGTATAAAAAGGTTGGATTTTTCCTTTTCCAATTTTATTTTATTTTATTTTATTTTATTTTATTTTTTTTTTTGTTGTTGTTGTGTGTGAATACACTCTGAAGAAATTTGTGTTCTTGAGATCTCAATAAATGCATCTGCCATTTGTCTTGCTTGTTCGACGTAGTGATTTATACGATGAGCTAATCGCGTACATATGATGATTTTTACATGATCTGGATGAACAAATTAATGGTTGTGGCCGACTGCCGAACCTACAATCATATTCTCTATGTTTCGTTCAGTTAAATTTAAATTTTGATGCTACAGGCCATTACTTCATCTGGGACAAAGAAAGGTGGATTACTTTTAGCTGATATAAACACTCAGCTGAAGAACAATAATATCACGACTGACATAAAAGTGGATACCAACTCCAAAGTAAGTCACTATTCTTCACTTGATGCTTCTCAAAAATTTGCATAAATAAGCCCTGGTTCAAGATTTATTAATTTTAAGTGTATTAGTGGATACTAATCCGAGCTTATGTATTATTGAATTTTTTTTTGGATCTACAGACGTAAAGAATGTTTAGTTGTGTAATTGTAATCTGTCATATTTGTTAACTTGAGTATTTGTTTCTTTATCTGTCTCTTGGACTTTCTATTGCGTGAATATTACTAGTAGAGTTATTAAAGATGACTTCCAAAGTAAAGATGACTTCCAAAGACAAGCAACTTCAAAATGCTTAAATTATTAGTGCAAGGTTGTAGATATAGATCTAATAGTTATGGGTAGCGTGAATGATACTAGGATTATGCCATGCATGGTCTTTCCTATGTTTTCACATTGTAGTTGTCTATCATCTTTGGCTCTGGTGCAAGCTTATTTATGTGACAGACGAGGAATCAAAATTGTGGGAAATGAACCCCAAATGGAAACTTGACTTTCTATCCCAAAAGACTTGATTATATCGTGAACGACAAGATGTTGAAGTTCAAGAAGGTGGCAGAACTTTCGAGAAATTAGCAATTTTCCCCTACTTTTATCTGTTTTGTCCTTAAATGCATCAGATACCCATTCGAACTAACATCAAAATTAGGCTGGACGTCCACCACCCACCCTTATAGACAGATTGCTTACAGGATCATATTCGGGTCTATGCTTAAATCCATGAGATGGGGAGATCTCCGATATGCAGTTCTTATTCATATGTAATTGCATAATCATCACCATAGTAGTATTCATGTCAATACCTTGATAATCATTTCAGCTTCTTTCTCAGATTGATTGATTTTGTGATGATGATGGGTTTTTGCTATTTTGTCATCTACTGCGTTTCTATAACATGGCAGAATGGATTTACCAATATACTGCAGAGTTTATTTTACGTGCTGTTATAGTTCAATGCTTGATTTTTGACATGTATTTTGATACTATTATGCAGTTCTTTTAGCTATCATCTAGCTTTTATGGATGTTTGTTCCCCATTTTCCTGACTTAGAAACAGATAGTAAAATGGCATTCTTTGCTGTCATCTCATTAATCTTTCAAATACAATTGTGAAATTTATTTTTATTATGTCATCCTTCTCTACAATTATCAAATGATTCAAATTTATCATTCCTTTTTTTTTTTTTTTTTTTTTTTTTTTTTTGCTTCCTTAACTTTTATCATCATATTTAATTTTGGAACTGCATTACAAAGAGCCACTACCATGTTCAGCTAAGCTTTAAAATGTAGTAGTACTTTTTGGAAAAGTAAGTAAAGACTTGCTTTCAAGAAAGCAAGTTTTTGAAACAAAAACCCCAAAAAGGTACCTTCTGAATAAGTTTAGCCAGACATGCTCTAATTCATTAATAGGCGATGTTCTATAACTATATAATATATTATGGTTACGGAGACATCCTTTTTTTCTTTTTTCTTTTTTTAATCTCTTTTATCTGTTTGTTTCCTTTTGGGACTGTTTGGTCAGATGACAAAGTTCGTTGTAATTGAAGTATGATTCTTTACTTCAAAAGGTTGTTTGGTCATGTAGGTTCACACGACCATCACTGTGGATGAGCCTGCTCCGGGTGTGAAGGCTATTTTTAGCTTCATCGCTCCAGATCAAAACTCTGGCAAGGTATTTATCCTTCTAGATGTGGTAATTTATGTCAATATTTTTCTCAATGTCCTTTTAAAGCTTTGTTAGTTCCTTGTGCTATCCCCTGAGTGAACTCTATTGTGACGGGGACATAACTCTACTGTTATGTTTGGTAGGTTGGAAGAACACAAGTTATAATCTTATCTATTATATTGTCTATTGTCCAGTTCTACTTGATATTGTGTACTAAACATGTACTTGGTGCCTCTGACTTATCAAAATTTTGGTAATAGGTGGAGCTTCAGTATTTGCACGAGTATGCCGGAATAAGTACCAGCCTTGGGCTGACTGCAAAACCCATTGTCAACTTTTCTGGTGTTGCTGGAAATAATCAGGCTGCATTTGGGACTGATATCTCGTTTGACACCGCTACTGGGACTTTCACCAGATGCAATGCTGGAGTTAGTTTCACCTCCTCCGACCTGACTGCGTCCTTGACGTTGTGAGTAACTTCTCTGATTGCTGGTTAGGTTGGACTTTACAATACTGGTCACTATTAAAGAATAAAAATGTTAAAATCTTATCGGTTGTACTTATCTAGCAAAAACATACCCTCACACTTCAAAAAGATTTTTTTTATTTTTTTTAATAGATCTCTAGCTAGCTGTATCTAGGTGAATATGGGTATCATCTCTCATTTTATAAATCTCCTAATATTTTACCATATATGCTTTTGAATGACTTCCTTACAGCTCTCACTCCTAAAACTTTTCTCGTTTTCCCTTGCGTGTTCCTAGCAAGAGGAAGTGTTTTGAGCGTATTTTTTTGCTAGTGACTATTGTGAAACTTATTTCAGTTCCAAGTTCTAGTTTGGAAATAGGAGAGCACATGTTTTCTCCATAGAATTCACAATCTTTAAAAAATCCTCAGACCATATACTTAGAACAAAACAAGTATGAGCATTCCATTTCCTCTGCTTTCGACAAATATTTGACGAGTTCTATTGGCAGAACAGAAGAGAAGAAGAGATTTATAAGTTTTTCGATTATCAGCATCTGATTTAGATGAAAATGATGACTACTGTTTCTTTCGGTTTTGTTGTGCTTGACGAGATAGCTGTTTGTTTATACAGGAATGACAAAGGCGAATTGTTTACTGCATCCTACTTCCACACAGTAAACTCATTGACTAATACTGCAGTTGGAGCTGAGTTGACCCACAGCTTTCCAAGCAATGAAAACAGTATCACTATTGGGACACAACATTCGTTGGATCCTTTAACTGCAGTGAAAGGTCGAGTCAACAACTATGGGAAGGTAAGCGCTCTTATACAGCATCAATGGCGTCCAAAATCCATTGTCACTATCTCAGGCGAAGTTGACACGAGGGCAATAGAAAAAAGTGCCAAGATTGGATTGGCTGTCGCGCTCAAGCCATGAAGTTGAGCATTTTGCAATTGAAATGTTGGCTGCATCGTGTTGAGATGTAGAGTAATAAGGTAGGTAGTGTTGATTCTTGGAAGCCCTCATCTTCTTCGTGCTCTTTTGTTTCATTAATGTGGTCTTGATTTTTTTCATATTTCACGGTTTTCAATTGTAGAAAATAATTTTTACTGAGGCCGTTTTGACTTGCCTCACCTATGTTGATAGTGGCTCAATGGTTGATCTTACATGTTGCACAATCTTACATTTCCATTGTTGTGCAACATGTATTGATATTTTCTTATAGAGGGTAATAAGTTAAATATATTTTGCATTTGAATGGAACTAGAATACAATTATGTATATTCAGTCAAGTTTGATTTAGACAAGGTCGTCAATCAATATGGCATCAAAGTAAGCAAATACCGTAATTCGAATTTTTGATACTACTCTTTAAAGAAAAATAAATAAATAAATGACCTGCATATGAAAGACATTTCTCTAGCAACTTGAATCATTATGAATTTTCAGCATCAGAAGCTCTGTCTAATTCTCTTATGACGTGATGTGGGGAGATTCACAATGGTACTAGACGGTCACTTCGAGTACTGCAGGCCAAATACATGACTTTTTCTGAGATCCCGTAGATGTCAACATGCACTACTGAGCCGCGCTCATGTACTGTAAGCGAGCGAGAGAGAGAGAGAGAGATTGTAACACTGGATAAAAAATTTCTCCATTAACTTCATCTTTGTTTACATTACATATTTCCCAAGACAGCGAGCACTTCTAAGGGAGTGCTAGACAGATTAGACAGTACAATGTCAAGAATCTTCTTCAATATTGTGCAATGGATCGTACTATATCTACCCGGGCGTTGACATGCCCGGTTACACGCCCCTCAAAGCAGGGGGGCTGCGCATTTTTTTATTCGGGCCCCTCTTCCTATGAGGGGTGTGTAACCGGACATATCAACATCTCGGTACAAATAACAAAATTCATTGTTCAATACTATCCGATCAGCCTTACTAAACATGTTATAAATGTATACTATCATTGCTTTTTCATTAACCTATGGACAATCAACAACAAAAATATTTCCATATCCAAGAATGTTAGAAGAGTAGGAAAAGAAACACAGATTTCCGAACCAATTCTATGGTTTACCGTTTGGTTTTGGTGAATTCCGAGCAAACTGATAATGATAGGGCGAGGCTAGAGAACCATTTGGTATTGAGAGGCTTCTTGGGTGTTGCTGCCCATTTCTCGAGAATGACCCTTGTGTTCTAAGGCCATTTTTACCATTTGGACTCAAACCAACACGCTCAGTTTGCACGGTCTGAAAATAGTACGATGAGCTCGCCATGTCCTTTAGACTTGGCAAAGGCTTTAAGGCTTCAACAACTTCACTCATCAGAGGCCGGGCTTTTGGATCTCGGCTAAGGCAGCGTGCAGCCAACTGTGCAGCTTTTTGGGCACCTTTTATAGAAAAGTGCCCCTCGAGCCTGGGGTCCATTAGACGATAAAAGCGTTTCCTCTCGCCCAGATGAGGCCTAGCCCATTCAACAAGGTTATGCTCCCCATTAGGCCGATTCTTGTCCATTGATCTTCTACCTGTGAGCATCTCGAGCAAGACAACCCCAAAGCTATAGACATCACTCTTTGAGGTAAGATGCCCTGTAACAGATAAGGATAGAATTCATTTAGAATAAAATAGAGACTTCATGCAAAACACCCAAGAATATGCAACGCATCTAACCAACCTCTCTGCAACATGATCATATGAAGGGCAATTGATGCAAGAAAAGCATCCATCCGAAACTCCAAAAAGTCCACACAAAACATCTAGAACAAGTTCGAACATTCTTAACTATAAAATTTGGACGTGCTTTTATTATTAGAAACACTTGAAAACACATTTTAGCAGCCATAATATTAAACACAATCAAGGATATCGTTTGTGATAACAGATTGATATTAAGCAAGACCAAATATAAAGATTAAATTGCTAATTGCACATATGAATTGCAATGAGTGTGAAAACATCTAGCCTCGTAAGTGAACTCCTTCAATATTTGAACAAGGCCATATAATCACTAGAAGGATATAGAACGATGAGAAGGCAAAATGTGCCATTAATCAGTGATAATTTTGAGATAAGCATGATATACCCATCCATATCAGCCTTCACGACTCCTTGTAAGTAGAGTCACTGCGCTAGAACTAATGATCAACATTATAACATAAAAGATACATGGCAGATGACTGGGACAGGGATGCAATATTAGATTTGGGCCCCACCAATGGCGTAGAACGATTTCATTACATCTGTTATTGGCTCAGTTCATACTATCTTAATAAAAATAATTAACAGAAGTGAAAGAAACAGTAAATAGAAGAAAAATACACATATGAAAAGGCCACATTCCTGTCTTATCTTGAAGTTAACCATAGAAACTGTACATAAGATTCAGTAATGAAGTTGTTGCAGTATTTGTACCAGATCAAATGAGTGATACAGAGGAAGAAGGGCTGTTGATCACGATTGTATAAGATTCAAAAAGGCAACATATAGTCTCAGACGAAAAGGTTTCCTATTGATTAAGCAATTAAAATTGCAATGGAACTTTTCCTTTATTCTATAGGTTTTCTCTAGTTATCTTAGGATTCTGTTCTCTTTTTCTAGTTTTGAACCTTGTCCGTCTGATAGGAGCATTACTTTGCAATTGAACACGCTAAAAATTTCACCTGTCATGACGTATTCTGGGGCAGCATAACCATAGGTTCCCATGACACGGGTAGAAACATGAGTTTTTCCTTCATCTGGAGCATCTTTAGCAAGTCCAAAATCAGAAAGCTTGGCATCATATTCCTGAAAAAACAAATAATAAATAAATAAATTATTAAATTAATTAATATACAAGGGAAACGATTTTACAAGAATGTGGTTCACCAAGCGTAGGGAACTTACAGCATTTAACAGGATGTTAGATGTCTTAAAATCACGATATATCACAGGTCTTTTTGCTTCCTCATGAAGAAAAGCAAGACCCTTTGCAGCACCAAGAGCAATCTTCATCCTGATAGACCATGGAAGAGGCAAAGACCCTACATTACAACAATTAAATTAGCGGAACACTGCTCCGTGATAGGGGAAAACATAAGTTCTCTAGCACAGAAAATGTGAAACGATGATATTATGATATAAGTTTCATATTGTCTATTGAAAGAAAAGTGTCATTCAAATCCAACATAAAATGCTCAAATATGGTGCAAATGGAAAAAATTTGAGGTAACAAGATCTGATACCGAATATGGGGCTTTTACCTCCACTCAAAACTTTGGTTAGATGCTGCTTCATCAGAGATGTGATTGTCATCAGTAAAATCTAATTGATGCTTTCACTTTTACAAAGTGTAATGCAAAAAAAATAGGATTTCTCCACCCAAGACTGAATTTGGGTCAGTATGCAAATATATCAGCCTTTTATGTTCCGATCCAAATTCTTGTGATCATTACCCCAACATGCATCTAGGAAAATGCAGCTACTATGATGTATTGATAAGCAAGATTGTTCTGAAGTTTTGTCGATTTGCCAACAAAAATATAAACATTTTTCAATCCGAATTCGCCGGTGGTTTATTATCAGACCGTGAACCAATACACACTAAACAAGAGGACCATGCTCGTTGGACAGCCATACAAGAATTAAAGGATATAAAGTATGGTAAAATCTGACCCTGTTTGGCTAATGGAAGTCAGAATTTAGACCATAAAATATAAACTAGCAAGTGAACAAAAAATTTTAGTACTTGCGTATCATAAAAATGGTTCAGAACTCTAAATTGACATATATAGAGCATCACCCTAACCTACAGAGTCAAATTACGAATGAAAATAAGAGTTAGTAACACAATATTTCATCACTCAGAAAATAGTCCTTGCCACCATAAAATCACACATGAGAAAATAGAACAAGATTCTCTCAACAGAATCCTATCTGACATAATCTAAATTCAAACAGGTCATCCATGAAAATACACTGGAAGAAGATTCAATACATACTTCTGAAAAGGTGGTTCTCCAAGCTTCCACGAGGCATGAACTCGTAAACTAACAGCCTCTGATCTTCTTCAATACAGTAACCAATTAACTTAACCAAATTAGGATGAACAAGATCGCTAAGAAAATTTACTTCAGCCTGCCAAAAGAATTGCAATTCAGATAATCCAAACAAAATAATACCAATAAAACAAGAAGACAGCCACTTCAAGAAAATCATATTGAGAAAGCATCAAACCAGCCATTCTTTATGACCCTGAAGTCCATCGTGATTGAGGGTCTTCACAGCTACAGTAAGTCCTGTTCCAGGCTTCACCGGTGCCGTCCCATTCTCTTCAATCCACCCCTTAAATACACAACCAAATCCCCCTTCACCGAGAAGGGATTCGGGTCTAAAATTTCTTGTTGCCCACTTCAGGTCATTAAATGTGAATTTTCGAAGCCGAGAAGACACTTTAAGTTCCTCTTCAAGTTTGAAGCTGGAAGATTTGCTTTCAGCATTGCTCGTGGTGGAGGATGGAAGTACCATGGAAGCTGGTTGGTCTCTGCTAGGGTCATTTGCTGATTTATTTTCTGTTAACAAGCGCAATGAAGCAATGGATAAGAAGAAAGGCCCGCTCGTGGTAGGAAAAGTCTACATTGGCATTATCTGGCATAGCATGCAGTATATTTTATGATATGGTAATAGGACTGAACTTATACACCTAAGTAGATGATACAATATCTAGTAAGAAAGTAACAAGTATTGGCACTAAATATGTAAGAGAAGGAGCACTTTCCAAATGTATTTAGCTCAATATATTGGACCCAAATTTGTTCGCACCAAAATTGAGCTCATTTTGTACGACATGATAAAAGCAACATGCTAAAAAAGTTTCCACATACAAGCTTTAAATTTTTAGTCATTGCACCTTCAACCATTCACTTCATTTCTGCTTAAGGAATACACAATAAAACAGTTAACTTGTCACGGTTGCAATTTTAGGAATAGCCAGAAACAATTATCAGCCTATTAACCATACTGTCTCTCTAACTATATTCTCACCACTTCACCGTTAATTTTTGTTGCAACCACCTTAATGTGCTAAACTGTTGTCACCAGATTACCTAAGAAATTGGATATCCAAACAGCCACAAGATTCACAATAACATAAGGGCTCATATTGAATCAAATATCCCAACTTGCAAATATAGCTATAACATACAACTCTGACAAAGAAGGAAAAGAGAACAAAAATAGAAGTCAAATCAGAGTAACCAATGAACGAAGAATGAAAGCAATAATTAAAGATGAATGGTAACTTGGAATTCGACATTTGGATAATTAGTAAAAGATTACCGCGAGCCCTGATGCCACTAATAGAGGTATCAACTTTAGATTTTGAACACATACAGCTGCCAATATACCTCAACTTAATCCAACACCCTGTCTCCCCCACAGCATCACCATTTTTCTTCTTCTTCGTCCCCTTTGATTTGGCAACATCCCAAGATTCTGCCTTCAAGCTATCACCACCAAGTCCCATCTTCAACAAACCTAGAATAAACAAAACCCACCCTAAATCTCAATTTCCACCCAACCTCCTCCTAAAGAAACTTTTCCAAATAGTCGCTCACTTCCAGTCCTATTCCCTCCAAAACCCCAGAATCAGCTAACTCAAGCCAAAGCTATATCAGAAAATCAGGCCAGAGATAACAAAAGACCACATTTCATCCACTTCCAAGAAAACCCAAATTGCCAAACTAGAACAGGTGACTTTCTTCCCTTCAAGAACAATTTTTACTCAAAAATCCACAAAAAATTGGAAAGCAGCTCATCCCAGTTCACAGGATCAGCTAATAAAACATCCTTTGTCCACTTTCAAGTTTACCCAGATACCTTAAAAGATTACACATCACTCTTTCCACTTCAAGATTTTCATAAAAATCCCAGAAAAAAAAATGAATTAACTCGGCCCCAGTTGAAAAGATGAGCTGAAATTACATTAAAGAGAGCTCAAATGAGCTAGATGATTGCAGATCACGTGCTTGACCTTCAAAGAAGAAAACTTTACCCCTTGGCTATGTGCAACAAGCAACTCTGAAATCAATAATAATGATGATAATAATCTTGGTTCAAAAAGTAGAACAATTACGACGCCACCGCCCCCGGAAATGTCTGCCCTTGGAAAGGATAGGAATCCCAACAAAAGACTCAAATACGTGCTGACCAGTCAATGCTCATAGGAATATTAGATGAAATTGTACCGATGCTGTCATCAAACGGTATATTTATATTTTATTTAGGGGTATTTTAAAAAATGTCTAATTTTATGGGTGTTAATTAAAAAATGTCAACTTTTTAAATTTAGTACTAAACTGTCTTATATGTCGTTAATAAAAAAAAGAAGCAATTTTTTTTTTCAATTTGTCGCGGAGTTCAATAAGGCGCTTTCATGATAAGCTATATTAAAATGATGGTATCGACATTTCAAACGTCATTCTCGATATTTGAATCTCGTTTATATTTTAAAAGTATGCATGTCAAATCACAATATTAAATTTTTTCAATATCTTAAATATCTAGAATGACATTTCATTCTGAACATAATATTTCTCTACACTTGAAATGTAATTCTCGAAATTTCTGTATCAATAAGAAAAATAGCATTATTGTGATTTGACATGTGCACTCTTGAAATAAATATAACAGGTTATGTGTCAAAAATTTAATGGCCAATAATTTTTTTGCAAAAATGTTCATTTCTTATCTTTGTGTGGAATCATAAATTGTTGACAGGGGTATTTTGGTTCAAAATATTTCAAAATGGACATTTTTGGAAGGATTTGTGAAAGTGGACATTTTTACAAATGGACATATGAAAGTGGACATTTCAAATAATTTCCTCTTTTATATATTGTGTACAATATCTGTGTAAGTAATTTATGAATGTATATATAAATAAAAAATGAAAATAAAAAGATTAATCCTATTTGAATTTCATTGTTTAAAATTCAAATTTTTTTTTCAAATTTATATGTAACTATACATTTTACTAATAAATTTTTTTTATACATAAATTCAAAATTTTCATTCTTTTGACATAAAAAAAAAGACTGATCCTATTTGAATTTCATTCTTGAAATTTCAATTTTTTTTTTCAAATTTATTTATGACTTGACGATGCATTTTACTATTAAAAAAAAATTATACATAAATTCAAATTTTCGATTCTTTTCACTGGTATATTATCAAAAAATCATTCTTTCATAAAATATATTTTAAAAAAATAAAATGAAGAAGAACCTATACTCAGTGGCTAAAACGCAAATGGGAGAGTGCCCGGAGAACACTGGCAGGAACTTCAAGTTCCATAAGCCCCGTTTTCAGCAATTGCCAATTTGTATTTGTATTTACAAGGTGTCTTTGATTATATAAGAAAAACAATGTAAAAGTGTATGTTAATGCCATTTAATGATAGTATAAACTCGACTTATTAGCCCAAATCACGTTGGTCTACCGGCGTTCCCATTCAAATCCCACCCCAGGGTTGCACAAAAAAATTGCGAAACTGCATATCGAATCGAAATCGTTAAGTTAAAGTCGTTGGTTCGGTCCACGTGGACTCATAATTTTTTTCCCTCAAACGGACCAAATTGTTTCAAAATGGTTTAGTTTAAATTTTGATTTTCAAAAACCGCACAACATTTAATCGTACCATTTTAAAAATTTTTTATTTAAACATTAATTTTATTAACTTAAAAAATTTGCAGTTTTCACTTTTCAGAATAAATACCAATTTAGCAGTACAAATTAAAACCAGCCTATATATACAACAATCCAAATCATAATTCTTCAAAACTATATTAGCAAATCATGTCCAAAGTCTCAGAAGTTTTAACATAAATTCTCATTTTCCTAACATTTAACACATGTCTATCACTGCTGAACGAATCAACAGTCGCCTTTGCATGTTAGTTTGCTAATTTCTACCTAAATTGTTTTTTTAACTTTTTTTTCGGCAAGTCTCAGATTCTCACTCAAACCATTTTTCGTTATTCTTTCTTTTATTTATTGTTTTTGAACTTATTATACACATGTGAGTTGTGGTTTGAATAGAAAAATGATTGTTTGTGATTTGGAAAGAACAAAAGACAGAGGAACGTATAGATTGTGTGAAAATGTTAAAGTTTTCTAACTGATACTACTACTTTCTACTTTCATAAAGTAGTTAGAGAATGAAATTCATCAATTTCCAATAAATTGAAACTCTGTCAATCTTTGTACATTCAAACATATCTCGTTCAATCCTTATTTAATATCTCACTAACAAGGCGAAAGAAGTTTTAATCAAACTATAATAGCTGAATGTAAATCTACCTTTACCAATCACTATATGACAATATGAATGTCAAACAAGAAATGTAAATACAAATGTTCTATTAATTTTTTTTAGCAACCAACTATGAAAATAATTATTTTATCGGTTTCATGGTAAATATGAATGTAATTTAACATTTAACATTATCGGTGCTCGTTTAAATTTATATGTTAACTTATGTTAAATATATTACTATAATGTCGATAGGTCAATCACGGATTAAAATCAAACCAAACCGCAAATTATGGTTTGATTTGGTTTAAAAAAATTTCTAACCACATAAAATGGTTTGAGTTGAAAACACAGTTCAAACCGTTTTCACCCCTAACTCACCCAACTCATTCCCTCTCCCCCCCATTGTACTAAATAAAATTCTAGTTTTCAAGAAAATTTTAATATTTGGCGATATTGATTTTCTTAAATATTTTCAAATTGGTAAGTATCATGCGAGAACTTTTATTTTAGAAAAAAGCTTAATATCACAATACCCCTATCTATTACCCAAATTGTCAAAAATTCTCATACGTTTTCCACCTAGCATAAAACATCAATGTTTGAAGCGTTTTGTACGAAATACCCCCTATTGTCAGCTTCAATCCATCTTGCTGTTAAATTCTAAAGTGGAAAAAAAATTAAGTCATTATTTGAGCCACATTATTTTCATAAAAATATCTTTTTGAATATTGTATTGATGGAAAAATATGGTTAAAAAATAAGAAAATTTTTTAAATTTGTGTGTAATATTATTTTATTGAAAAATGTGTAGTTGAAATGATATCAAATCACTGTTTAATTTTATTTTATTTTTTTCATAAAATAATGTTGCTCAAAGAGGGCCTAAAAGGGAACCACCTACTAGACATAGTGTGCAACAACCTCTCCCCTACGAAAAAGGTTTATGCCATATATTTTCTCAATAAAAAAATTGAAAATGACGAATATACCCTTATATTCAAATAAAATAAAAAGAAAAGAAGAAAAAATAACTAATTGAAATCATAATCCCAAACCTTTTATTTGTAACGCCCATAATCCCAAAACTTTGAATTTATTTTCTTCCCCAATCCCATTCCACCCCACCCCACCCCACGCTCAAATCTTTATTCGTTTTCCCCATCTCTCCCCTCCTACTTTCAATTTAGTCCCCACAACAACAATGGGCATAGCAGCAGTCACGTAGCTAGCTATATGTCTTCCATCCTGAAGATTTGGGAGCTATGTTTTTCATAGCATCAATTGCATATGATGGAGTCGAAACTTTATCATCGATATATGAAGTGCTTAAGCTTCGTAGGCTTCCGATGGGATTGTTACCGAAAGGAGTGAAAGACTTCATTCTGGACAATTCTAAAAAGAAAAATTATTGCAACAGTGTAGTAGGCAGCCATGTAGCTGCCTGTAAACATAGGCATTAAAAAGTTGCCTGCTTGTGCAGCTGCCTATAACATGTCGGCTCGGACCTTGCTCGGCTCGAGCCAAAGTGCAGGTCAAGCCTAAATTTTTTGATCGAGCAAAAGCTCATTTTGACTCGTGTCAAAAAGAGTCCAAACAATTTTTACTCAAGTCGAGCCCTGGCTTCAAGTTTCGGGTCGTTGATATCCTTAGATAATTTTGGGAAATTTGAGTTTCACTTAGATTGCACTTGCATTGCCAAGTTTGAAACACAAACTACACTATTAATGTAATGTTTTTTTGATACTTTGAGCTACGGAAGGATCGACAAGCTATCTAGGATTTTCTGCATAGGATTTATTCCAATGTTTCCCTGTTTAAGAAATCTTGGCAATTTTCCGAGCTCCGGGATGATTTACTTTGATGTTGGTATGGTTTCAAAGAATTTTTCATTGTCTTCTTTTGAGATTCCTAGGGATTGTTTGACTATTCAGCTCCCAGATCTTCAAGATGGAAGAAGATGAATTGAAAATTGCGTGGAGGGGAGAGGCGGGGTGTGTAAGGGAAGAAAATAAAGTTTTGAGGGTGCGGTGGGGTGGGATTGGGGACGAAAATAAAATTTTAAAATTTTGGAAATGTGGGTGGTATAAATAAAAGGTTTGTCATTATGATTGTAATTAGTTTTGTGTTTTTTTTTTTTTTAAATTTTGAATATGATAGCATATTCGTCATTTTCAATCTTTTTATCGAGAAAACAGATGACAGTGACATTTTTCTCAAATTTTAATATTTGGAGGGGGCGGAGGGGTTTCTCTTTAAAATTTTTCCATTTTTCCTCTTTTTTATTGGAATTTAACGATAGGATGGACGAATGAAAACAATAAGGTTATTTTGCATAAGATATTTCAAATAGGGACGCTTTGTGCCATTTCCAAAAGGCACGTGAGTTTTCGACAACTTGTAATAGATAGCGGGGATATTGTGCTATTAAGCCTACAAAAAATCTAATAAAGTGCAGGGTAAGCCCCTATTTGGTGGTCTTGAAAAAAGCAAAATTTTAAATAGTATTTTTTGGAAGTTGTGCGGTTAAGAAGTAAGAAAAAATTTCGAATTTATCTATAGAATATTTTTAGGGTGCGACTATTTACATCCACAATTCTTATATAATCATCCCTACTAAAATATTAAAATTTTAAAAAATTACTATGATAATCCACGTCAATTCTAATATTATCCTTATTTAATTCATTCATTTAAAAACTGTATATCCATACAAATATTATATATTCATCTCGCTCTATATGCATCCTTAATACAATTTCAAAATTCATCCCCATTACATATAACATCAACATTCTTACAATTCAATAATTAGTTCCGTGGACAAAATATTATATTTAAAATTAAATTAAATATCCCATAGGTATGTTATTTGCTACATGAATTGGTCCGTTATACG